AGCATACCTTTGTCAACCTATCATGCATTGCAATATGTCAATACAATTGATATCAAATTGATTAATTAATTATGCAAATATGCAATCCTGTTCTTCCTAGATACACCACTCTGACTAAAGCATACTTGAATGGCACTGACTGAGCTGTTCTTAAACAAAAAGAAAAATGACCAGCGATTAAAGTCAGGGAGCCAAACAAGATGAGAAAAGCTTTTCTAACTTTTTTTTTTTTACATTTACATTTTCCAAAGCTGCTGAATTGGAATCCATCCATCCATCTTCTTATGTTCATCAGTTTCAGGGTCGTGGTGCTGGAGACTAGCCAAGCTGTCTTGGGGTGAGAGGTGGGAGTACACCTTGGACAGGTTGTCAGTCTATCACGGGGCTCACACATGGAGACAGCCAACCATTCACGCTCATATTCACACAGCCAATTTAGAATTGACACTTAACCTGACATGCATGTTTTTGGACTGTGGGAGGAAGCCGGAGTAAAAGGAGGGAACGCACGCAGTCACGGGGAGAAAAGTCCACAAAGACCTTTTTGTTGTGTTTCAACATCAGGCTTTGGAATGGAGTGCTGTAATGTACAGTACTTCTGGAGGTTTCTTGCCTAAAAATAAACAATTAAAGTAACCTACAGCATGCACATTATTGCAAAGATGGTACTGAGGAATATTAGCATAATATTAAATTATTAACTATCATTTGAAAGTATTGAATATACCTTATTTATCTTCTCATTTCACCTCTTATATAGACTGGCGCTATTATGCCCTTTTCTTATTTGAGCCTTCTTGCCCAAGACTGGGCAGGTTTTTGGACGGGACCATTTATCCAACCCAGAACTCTCAGAACTGTTTGGATTGTGTTGTAAGAAAAGAAAACCCCCAAGCCTCTGCAGCAGGTGATTAAAGCAGAACATCACCAGTGCTCATCGACTGAGCATCAGCGACATCGTCGAGGTGCAGGGCCCAAATTATATTAAAAGACAATATCCAGCCCAGTCACAGCCTGTTCACCCTTCTGCTGTTTGGCAAGCAGTACAAAAGAATTAGTATCAGACTTCAACACGCTATTTTCCCTTAGGCTGTGAAACTTGGGAACTTATCTTGCGCAAGCAACAACAACAGTTAGTTATTTATTCATTAAGTTTTAATTGTTTTTTTATCCCCTGGACTATGAATTTTGTAATTCAAGAGCATACACCCATTGCACAATGCTTCATCATACTGTGCATATAAAATGCCTTTTATTTTTATCAGTATGGTTACACATCACCTGGTGCTGAATGTGCCAGTTGAGTATTCATAGGATTGATTAATCAATAGATTATCATTCCATCATAATTCTTTGAGTTTCCAGCTCCTGGTCAGTAAGTTGATCATGGTGTGGTTTTCTTTTAGGATACAAAGCCTGTAGAGAGGTGATGGGATCGAAAGGTTGGACATTAGGGTCAGCTGGAGCTACTTTAACAATGTCTGGATTACATGGGGTTTATTTTTAGGATGTTTTTTTAGTTTCCTGCTGGCTGAAGGAACCCACGTGGATTTTACCACGAGAAGGGTGGAATAGCTCAACCATAAATTCTCACAAATTAGTTTCAATGTCTCCTTTTTCTTGACTGGCAGTAATTGTTGAGGAAAAGGTCAGAGACTTCGACCTGCACCTACATGAACAGGCACACGTCCTTATCCATCATCCAGCACATCCTGTGTGTGAGGTGCCTAATTGGTTCCGCGGTGAATCATATCTAATTGGCGTGTAGCTGTCTATAGCGAAGGTACGTTGAGGCAGTAGACTGAATCCCACATAAAAGTGTAGAAGAGTGTAAAAGAGAGTAAAAGCTGAAGAGCAGTGCTGCTGGAAGCTTTCAATGGGACAGAGAGAAAGAGCAAGTTCATTGTGGTGTTATTTATCTGTTAATTTGTTTTTTCAGTGTCCCCATCACTGGTGTTTTCCATCTCTCTTAGAGCCCAAATCAAATTAGCTCAGTAGGCTAGAAATTCTTGCGCACAGGGTTACAAAAGTAAACAAACAGGCAAGCTGACTTGATTGTGTAAAGTCTGCATTTATTGTCTAGGCACTATTGCTGAGATGATTACGGTCTTCTTAAATTGAGGCTTGCTGCAGGGGACGTGAGATAAGTCCCCAAGCCGCCATGCTAATTTAGCGCTGCACAAGAGCCGAGGCTGCAGTCTACTTGTGATGGAATATTATTTAAATAAAAGCAACGCCTGACTTAAAGTTTTGACTTGTGCTATGATACTCTTCTGTCATCGTTTTTGCTTTGTTAAAGGATACTTATTCTACAGCCCAAGCAGAGAAATCCATAAGATTTGGACCACTGCTGAAGTTTAACACTGCTTTGTTGCTAGTTAGGCCTCCAGTATTAATAGCATACCAGCCACCATAAGTCTCATTATTTTTCTGTGTCTTTAAAAACACTTTTATTAAGGTAATAAAAATGTAGGGGAGACCGGGGATAGTTGTAACGTGGGTCAGTTGTAACACTTCCAATTTCTCCAATCAGGGCTAAGTTTCAAATGATGTGACTCATCCTGTGCATGCCCAATTCAGTTCTGCTATCACATGTGAAAAATCAGCACATTTTGTCAAACACAGACAATTTAACACGAAAAAAAGTAATTTGTATGCCAAAAAGTAAGTTTTTCTACTTTATTTCAATTTTAATAGCATTATCTGCTTTGCAGTTAAACTCATCAAACTTAAATTATGTTATTTGTATGTCTATGGGGATATATTCTGTGTAGGTCTTTAGTGCTAATGTTTTAGCCGTTGGCTGTAATGTTAGCTAGTTCATGGCTATAGGAGTCTGGGTCAGTTGTAACAGCAACAGTCTGGGTTAGTTGTAACAATAATGCAGATGTTACAACTTACCACACTATTACTTTAACTTATATTAAACAAGTTGGGGCAACGACATCAGCAGAGAGAGGTTCACTGGTCGCTTTTGTATATGCGGTTAATGCCATTGGCAACACAATTCCTCCACTGTTTGTGTTCCCACACATACATTATGCAGACCACTGTGTCAGAGATGGACCAGTAGGAAGTACTGGTAGTGGAAATAAATCAGGATGGGTGCAAGAAACAGATTTCCTCATCTTTCTGAAGCACTTTGCAAACCACACCAAGGTAAGCCAGGATAAAAAGTAATGGAATTGCGATGCTGGTGAACAACTACATTTTTTCAGCTTCATTGTTATGTTCAAAATTGGTGCAAGAGTTGTAGGTTATAATGCCCACTGAGCCAATGAGGCCAAACTCAAGGAAGACCAACCAAAATTAATGAAATATTCAGTTGCAGAAAATTCCATAATTTGTCTTTTTTGGGGGGTTGGAATATGTTCAAAAGCTAGATTTCTGCATTCTGTCACACACACACACACACACACACAACACACAATGCATCATGTTAACTACACACGACACCACACACACACACACACACACACACACACACACAGCTACATAAATGGCTCTAAGTGCATTCATGTGTTGAATAAACAAAGATTACATGTTAATATTTTGTTAGTACCCTTATTTCATTGTGTTACATTTTACCCCAGGATATGTTACAACTAACCCAGACTATGGGGTTAATTGTAACATTTCACTCTTTGTGTTTGAGACCATACCATGCAATGGGTAATTGTGCTGCAGAGAAAATAGCTGCACTATTTAATAGCAGAGACATGTAAATACTTTGCATTACATTTTGAATCCACTACCTTAAAAGAGCTCCAATTTACAGACAGAAATGTCAAAAATGTTACAACTATCCCCGGTCTCCCCTACTTTGGCTCTGAGAGAAGTTTCATTGTTAAAAGTTACAGGGATAACAGTGATTTAGCACAGTGCTTCAGTTTAAAGATTTGGTGTAACTAATATCTTTGTGCTTGTGCTAAACACCTATCCTCTCCTAACTAATGTGATTATGATTAAAGCGAACAATCTGTCCTCTCGTACAGTGATACTCAATTTACAGCCTGTAAGACAAATGAGTCCCACCACAGGATGACAGCTGGCCTGTCAACCACTTTCTAATTCATTTTAAAACACAGTCAGACACATCTGCAACTAAAATGCATGTACAGCCTTTGATCACAGTATTTCCTCACTATATTTGGAGTTAAGGCTCTGTTTTCGGACCCCACCACCTTCGCAGACACATACATATAAAGCTTGAGCAGCAACACGGCTTTTCATAAAAAGACATAGCAGGCAACAGTAGCAAAAGATACAGCGTGATACATGTGATCGGAGAAGAAGAAGAAGCTGGAGTGAAGGTTGCAAGATATCCAGCAACTGTAAGCAGGTTAAAGCAATTTAAATGCTTTTATGAGATTTCCTAGCTGGGTATTCATGGAGCACGTGCAAAGGAATCAGCTGAGCCATCAGCTGATAGGGGCTGACATTAAGATCAGCTGATCTGCTATGCCCTTTGACCTTGTGGTCTACCTGAACTAACCCTATGGTTGATTGATGATGTATGAGTTTGATGATTTATTTTATAGCCTTAATGTGAAACCTTCTACTAAGTTCATGTAGTTCATGTCAGTTGAAAGAAACAGGACACTAAAGTTTACCTTACGATAATATTATTAATAATAGTTTATTTTTTTTAATTAAATCAAATTAAATGTAACTTTTTTTACTACTTGGTCTCTGACATCCATCCATTCAGCAAGTGTCTCAAACCCTCGTTGTTTACATCGTGTTGAATGAATGAACAAAGCTGCTTTTGTTAACAGCTTTTTGGGTTTGTCAGTCTGAATTAATAGTTGAGTACTAATTACAATATTCAACAATCCTTTATAAAACAACTATGCACAGAATATCATCAGTGTCTAACAGTACCTCTTATTATTATGACGTTTTGTCCTTCCTCAAATCTTCTTTATCTTCTAGTCTTTTATTGTCCACCCTTTGACCATAAGATCATAGTCTCCTCTTTTTCTTCTGTCTGTCTGTAGCGATGGATGGGCAGACCGTTACGAAGTTGTGGAGGGTTATGAGCAGGAAGCAGAGGGAGGCATCACAATGAAGCTCCAATCAGCGGTGGTCAGGTCCTTTGACGACTATTACCTGAAGCTGCGTCTGGACAGCAATACCAGGAACCCTTGGTTTCCAGAGTTCTGGCAGTATCGTTTTCAGTGCCGCCTCCCAGGCCATCCCCAGGAAAAGAAGAACTACAAAAAAGTCTGCTCCGGTAGGACATAACAACATTTTTGACATTCATAAGTAGGAGTGGATATTTTTCAAACAAATGACTAGTCACAGAGTTTAGTTTTTCAGGCACCGTCTTCTTTTCTTCTGACCAGAGGGTTAAATATGATCATGAATATAAGAACAGAACTCATGAATATTAATAAAACCTGTGATTTGTTTTTTCCCCCCTGTGTTTTCCTCCATGAATATTCTCTCCATTTGCTCGCAAAAGGTGATCACGGTAAATTGTGTTCTTGACTTGTTGATAGCTTTTCAACCACAATTCAAAAACTGCTCCAAACAAATCCACCCTGCAGAATGGCATTAAGACGAATTGGTCAGCATGCTTCTAAATTCAAACGATCAATAAAAATCAACAAGTGGTTTGTGATGACACTCAGAGCTGTAAGGTTATGGACGCTTTTCTACTTTGTATCACACGTTTACAAACCTCTTATGTTCCATAGATCTTCGAGGTGGTAAGTGTATCTTTCTAGACACGATTATTACAACAACTGTCTGAATTTCATCTGCACTTTGTTTGCATTTGACTCCTCCAAGACAGGATGAGTTTGACTGATGCTTTTTTAAACCCAGCGCTCTCTGTAATATCTGCGATTTAGTCAAATAAAGCAGATGGGTTGATGTCTTCATCCTGGCAGGCTTAGAGTGCGAAATTCATCAGTCAAACTCTGATGCAAAGCACTTGCTTGTTTGGTCTGTACGAGGAAAAGGAAAGAAAACAAAAGTTGACATATACGTTGGAAAGCTGCACAAATGAATGGCTCACTCAGCACACGCTGCTGACACAAACACCTGAAAAATATGTTGTATGGTGAGAAGTTGCATCCCTTTCCCCCCCCCACTGCGTGTGCATGTTGATATCACAAGCAAAACATATCAGTATTTTAAATGCACTGTCAAAGGAGGCAACAATAAATGTAGTTTTGAAGAGATCATTCCCCCCTCCTTCTGCCAAACACTGACTGTGGGACAGTGCCTTTAGATGACTGAAGTACAGCTTGCACAAACAGTGAGGATTTTCCCAGGCACTGGCTGTTCTCCTCATCTGTTTCCTATTGAGCTTTTGGGCATCAATGCTAATATATTTTGTTGCTGCACAAAAAAAGAGTTGTCTTTGTTTCTATATTCTTCATGTCTTCTTCGAATTTCATCATACTTCTAATGCTGTCATTCACACAGAGTAATAAATCTTTTAATACAGCAGCACAAAAAAATAGTTTAAGGAATAGTTGCATTTAAAACTCTTCCTTATTAATGTTTTTTTAATCTTCTGCCCTTTGTGATCAAGGTTAAGAAGAGGGGAAGAGATTGACAGAACTAAAAAAAAATGAATTGAGGTTAACACGGTGATTTGAGTTGTACAGTTAATTTCTCTTTCTCTCTTTCTGCCTTGAAGCAGATTTTCTACACTTGCAGTTTGGAATTCTTTCGACTGTTTGACGACCTCTTCTTTCATCTCTAACAGGAAATGAAAGTCTGCAAGAGAACTATGTGCAGGATAGTAAGATGGGCTTTGTCATCAATGCCATCTACGCCATGGCTCATGGCCTTCATGATATGCACAAGGAGCTATGTCCGGGACAGACAGGGCTCTGTGAGGCGATGGATCCCATTGATGGCAGCAAGCTTCTGGACTACCTGCTCAAAACATCCTTCAGAGGAGTCTCGGGAGAGGAGATTTACTTTGACGAAAATGGAGACACCCCAGGAAGGTAAGAGGAAGAAGAAGCTAATAAAAAATTAAGAAAAGCCAAGAAATGAAAATAGAGATTTGATATCACCATCTGGGTCACAAAGTGCATTTCCCCTTCTCCCACTCTCCAACTCATTAGCACACATGTGTGTCCCAGTCTTGAGCATGAGAGGATGTAATTAGTCTGGACTGGAACAGATTTAGTGGATTGTCCACTGCGGCAGTCACTTTCATGTCTTTACAGTCCAACGGACAACATTTGACAGTCAGGAAACACAGCCGTGTCATTCCTCTGTCAGCTGGAGGTTAGGTGCAGCGCATTCTGGTTCAGTATAAAAATGAGGGCACACTGTGCACTGGTATGAGCGCTTGATGTCACATAACAGAGTTGTAAGCAGTTTGCGGCTTCAGATAAGAGGAAAGGCTTAAGCTGTGGAGTTGTTATCATTAAATTACCTTTCACTCTGATTCTCTCCTTTCCCACTCCCTCTCAAATCCTTCCCTTTCTCACTTAATAAGTGTGTTAATACGCAGTCCTCCGTCTCTCCTCAAACATCCAGGTATGACATCATGAATTTACAGAGCGTGGGTGATGATCGCTATGACTACATAAACGTGGGGTCGTGGAGCGAGGGCATCTTGAGCATCGATGACAACAAACTGTGGATGAACAGCAGCGACATGGTTCGCTCAGTCTGTAGTGAGCCCTGTTCCAAAGGACAGATAAAGGTAGGGATTCAGATCCTCCTTAAAGTAAATTCCCATACGAACTCATCCGTATCCTTCTCTGAGATATCACCTCGGCACATTTCACACTCTTCCAGAGCGACCTATTAATCATTTAATGTTTGAGAAAAATGCAAAATTGTTCACGTTTTAGAAGACAAAGAACAATTAAGAAGCCTTTATAGAATTTAGCTGAGGTTTAGTTGACAACCAGAGCTTTATGTGATGACGTAAAGGGCTGTCCTATGGATTTCTCAATCTTGTTTTTACCTCGCCTTAATAAAAATAGACTTAGCAGGATAACTGAGCTGGAAAATACTTTGATCCAGCTTCAGGCACAACAAGAAGTCGGATTCTCTGAGGCTTTACAGGAAAGAATAACTTAACTCTTTGTTGCGATGCATAAAGGTGTTCTTATTTCATAAAGCCGTAAGAACGTAAAGCTTTAAAAGACCCAGACACAGTCCTCTATCAGCTTGAAGGCTGAAAAACTGTAAAGAATACTCCAGTATCATTGCTTTTTAAGCACTTCTTAGTTTTATAGACTCTTGTAATACACAGTGCAGCATTCAAAATGCTTGCATTTTCTTCAAGAACACAATCTGCCTTCTCTGTCTGATAATGAATCCGAGTCAGTCTACTTGCTTGCTACTTTATTAGAGGTACACCGAATGAAGGTGATCCACACTGATTAAATCAATTTGATTAAAACATGTTAATCTATCACACATCATTTTGTGGCAGAGGGTGAATATTCCTGCTTGTTAGACTGGGACAATATTGGTACAGATACAGGCTGGCTGGAGAATACGATTCATCATTATGATAAAGCACTTATAGACAAATTGTCAGTGTTCAGCACAGGAAATAGTTATTCTCTGTGTATAGGGATCAACTAGAGTTGACCCCTTTTAACAATACTATTCTTTCTCTTCCTCAAAACACTGGATCGGAAAATCTGAGATTATCATTGTATGCTGATAATACCCTTCTTTGTGTAGGTAGTGCAGTTTCCTCTTTACCACATGTTTCCACTTTTGAGTTGTTCCGCTTATTATGTGAATATAAAATCAAATGGACAGCAATTAAAAGCATTCTGCCCTCCCGTATACCAGAATCTTCATGTTGACGTGTCCTCTTGTATGTCATCCACTGTAACACAAAATTGTCAAGGTAAATACAGGCACATTTGAAACCTAATGTAATTTCCCACACTAACTCAACGCTTTTATATCAATATTTAAAATGGACATACTCACTTGGGTCGATATTTACTCTTTTATGATCCCTTTTGCTTCTTCTGGCTATTTCCAAATTTTAGTATGCACTTCTAGTTCTCTCTCTTGGTTTGATTATGCTCCTTCCGTCTCTTGGAGATGAATAATATGGAATATTTTGCTGCCTCACAGATTGCAGGACCTAGTAATTAAATTTGGAAGGTGTAATTAAATTTCTTTTGCTACTTGCTATACTGGTAACAAAAAAAAGTGCATGCAGATCTTAAAGGGCACAACCATTTGCCATTTTCTAAATTCCAAATGCAGTATGTTTTCTTTGTTGTTTCTGCAGTACAGTTATGGGGAAGTGATGTTTGAGTTTGAAAGAAAGGTCTCTGTGTTTAATGGAATTTTGAGATTTACAAGCAGAATGTAATCTACCGTGATAATCTTTTTTTTCTATCGCAAATTAGGATTAATCATGTGGGCATGCAATGTCCCATCGGGATGGAAATGGGGGAGGTCAAGTCATCAAGACATCAATATAATCATTAGGATTAAGCATTGGGGGAACCACAAATGTCTAACTTTCCAATTAATCTCTACTGTAATTAAAAAGAGAAATGTTTTAAGAGCTGAACCGGTGCCCTTACTGTACATCTGTTCCCAGTAAATATGTCATTGATTTTTCTTGCAGTGAATCTTAATCCTTTATTTGCTTAAATCACATGCTGGCAAGAAGACTGCTGATGCTACACTGTCCTACATTTTTAAATCCTCCTCCCATTACAAATGATTTAAAGAAGGGATAATGAAGGAAAAGAGAAGTCTATGTAAATATGACAAACACAGATAAGTTCTGATGTCACATAAAAAGTTTAGGTTTGCACCATAAACTCACGGGACTTGCGCTCTACCTGAGTGAGGAGATGGACCGTTTGGGACAGTAAGCAATAAAACTGGTTTTGAGCACAGGCTGAATAAATGCCCTCATTTCCTTCATTTGGGGACAATTGTTTTCAGACTGGCTATGCACCGAGTTGCCTCGAGGGAGGGTGCATCCTCTCTCCTAGCTGCTCATGCTTCCCCCCTCTATCTGCTTTGTTTCGTGCCCCACTTATCACCCTGCTTTACATATCACAGTGCTGGTAACAGCTTCTTTGGGAGCAGAATGTAAAAGCAGCCGGCCTTGTTTTCTAAACACTCTGTCTGGGGCTCAAAAAACGCACAAACAAATCCTCATTTTGATATCCCCTCTGTGCTGATTAATTATTTAGGTTGCTTAAGGTGAGATGTGCTTTTTTTTCCACGGCTCAGTGTAGTGACTTGCTACCGAGCTTTCTTTGGCATGTTGTTGACTGTGTGTTGTTTCTCTGCGTGCAGGTGATTAGGAAGGGTGAGGTGAGCTGCTGCTGGATTTGCACCACATGCAAGGATAACGAATATGTCCAGGATGAATTTACCTGCAAGGCGTGTGAGCTGGGATGGTGGCCGGATGATGACCTGGCAGGTAGGAGAAACAAAAACAGAAACTGTGTTTGTTTTTATTACATCGTTCATCCACACTCCTTGTCCATTACCCCTGAAATGGTTCACACTTATTATTTTGCCCATTTCGTGCGTTTACCCTTAGCTCAACCACAGTACTTTTAGTGGGGCTGACTCCCCTGTTCTCTCAATAGTCATCTTCCCCCACCGTAAGGCTATTCACACAGCACCTCAGTGGTCTAACAACACCTTTTTCACCATGCAGGTCCTATGCCCTTGCTTTCTTCATTTCCTCAAACCTTAACACCACTCCCTCAAAAAACTGCTGCTGCTCATTTCCTTCCTCTCTGCTCTTGTTGTGACCCGGTGCTTGTTCTGACAGCGATTTATAAAGTTGAGAGGAGCCCTCAATTCCCAGGTGTAAAATCCTATTACTGCCATGAGAGGCTTTAGGATACATTTCAGCAGTCTGTCAAGAAAGAAAAGTTTCCTTCAGTCTCATTACATTTGAAAAATACTAATAGAGAGAGGTAATATGCTATTCACTGAACAAGGGTCTACAATTGTGAATGTGTATTTTTGAAAATATGCAGCAGAAGAGTAAATTTCAAAGGTCTTCCCAGAGCTTAGAAACACAAATAAGCGATTTGAGGATTGTGTTAGATAAGTGAATGCAGATACATTTCATCTTTGCCACCCGTGTCTGTTTGCATGCATAAGGGCAAAATCATCTGCAAGCTGAGCTGGGTGTGTGGCCAAAAGAAAACAAGCAACAGTTCTCTGTCCCCACTTCCCCCAAAATTTAAATGAAACCCTGCTATAAGAGCTCCTTTACACCTTGATATGCTCATTACTACCTTTCTGATTAGAATCCCCAGAGGACGACAATTTTATTTATTTTAAAATTTCATATGTCTTATGATTTGGCATATTAGGATTTAGCATGCAGACCAGAACTGGGTTCCTCCGTGAAGTCACTGTAATGCTATTAGCAGAAGCATGTAATTTATGAAGTGTTAAGCTGGGGAAGTCTAGGGATGTCATTTTTCTCCAATTAAGCTCTCCAGACTTCTTCTCTGTGTTGGATGACGAGTATGCAGGGCATCATGACAGAAGAGAAATAGAGCTTTGGGGTGTGTAGGATGAAAAATGCAAATGAGTTCCTGTCAGTGCCATAGCGCAAATGTTGGGGGCACATGTATGGGCAGCTATAGGTGTACAAGGAACTACATAAATAAGAAAAAACACATCTATTAATATGGTCATCAGCATTTAAATATTGTCAAATATGTTTAGGACAGTCTAAGAAACCCAGAATCTAAAAATTTCAAACCTTTTTTTCCAGCGTGTTGTTATTGCTGTGTGAGGCTTTGGCTCTGAGGATATACAACATTATTTCCAACACGGATTTTTCGTTCTCTTTATACCTTGAACATAACACAAAGACTTACCATAAGAAGTATTTAACATATACCAAGGTTATTAAACTTTTCTGATGCTGCAGAAAGTTCATTTTTATTATCATATAGAAAATGATGTCATCATGTCAAATTATTCACTGAGTGTAGTTTAATACTGTAAGTGTTAAAATAAAATTCCGAAAACCAAAATGTATTTAAAAAATTGCCTTACCAGTGAAGTCTATTTTCAGTGTACAACCATTAACTGTTACCCAAAAAGACTGAATGCAACAATTAAAATACTGCAGTATATATATGTATATGTATATATCTATATCTATATATCTATATCTATATATATACATATACACAATAATATGTGCACGTGGAAGGCACTAAAATCAGGCCATTGCCGACACTCTGATTTGCTTTGCCCACTGCTTCCCACCATCTTTTAATGTACCTTTCATTCAGTAAAACTAACCGCAGGATGAATTAAAAAATTGACTGAACACTGTTTCCTCTACTGTTTCCAGGTTGCCAGCCCCTGCCGTTGAAGTATCTTGACTGGGCAGATGTGGAATCTATAGTTGCTGTGGTTTTCTCCTGCGTGGGCATCCTGATCACCTCCTTTGTTACCTTTGTGTTCATCCAGTACCGTGATACACCTGTGGTTAAATCCTCCAGCAGAGAACTCTGTTACATCATCTTGGCAGGCATTTTCCTAGGCTACATCTGTCCATTCACATTAATCGCCCGTCCCACAGTGGCCTCCTGCTATTTGCAGCGGCTCCTAGTGGGCCTTTCATCTGCCATGTGCTACTCTGCCCTGGTGACCAAAACTAACCGCATTGCACGCATTCTGGCTGGCAGCAAGAAAAAGATCTGCACCAGGAAACCCCGTTTCATGAGCGCCTGGGCCCAAGTGATCATTGCCTTTATGCTTATTAGTGTGCAGCTAACTCTGGAGATTACACTCATCATTCTAGAGCCCCCCGAGCCCATCAAGTCATACCCCAGCATACGTGAGGTCTACCTCATCTGTAACACCAGCAACGTAGGCATGGTAGCGCCGCTGGGCTACAATGGCCTCCTAATCATGAGCTGCACATACTATGCCTTCAAGACGCGGAACGTGCCCGCCAATTTTAATGAGGCTAAATACATTGCCTTTACCATGTACACTACCTGCATCATCTGGTTGGCCTTCGTGCCAATCTACTTTGGCTCTAATTACAAGATCATAACCACATCCTTCTCCGTCAGCCTGAGTGTAACAGTGGCACTGGGCTGCATGTTCACACCCAAGATGTACATAATCATCGCCAAACCAGAGAGGAACGTCCGAAGCGCCTTCACCACATCTGACGTGGTGCGAATGCACGTTGGAGATGGGAAGTCTGCAGCTCAGTCAACAAGCAACAGCTTCCTGAATATGTTCCGCCGGAAGAAGACCGTAACAGGCAATGCCAAGTGAGTAACCTTTTGTGCTTTTTCATCTTTCTGTTTGGATTTCATTTCTGGGGTCACTGGTTAGAGACCAAAAAGGTGACTAAACTCTCAAATTGGAAAAAAAATAATCATATCAAGCTATCACTTTTTTATGATGTGTTTGCATGTCAGTGGTCTGTTTTCATCTTTCCAGTACCCCAATGAGTGTTTGTATTTATGTAGTAAAAACTGGTTTTTAGGCACATCCCCCTCCCCCTGAGAATGAAATATCATCAGCGAAATTTAATAGGAAAGTCAAGATGGGACGTTTGCTGTTATTGATTTAAAGCTGAAAGCCCATTCAAACGTGTCAGGGATAATGAAAGTAGAGATTTCATGTGGCGATTCTAGATGTAAGACTTGCATATAACTTTTTTGAGATCCACAGCAGTGGCACATGGACAAGTGACTAAAGTAAGGAGCGGGGCAGAGAAGGAGAGTGATCCCAATATGTTTAAGTGTTGTCTCTTACCCTTGCTATGCAGCCTATCTAATCTTCTAACCCTTCAACCTTCTATACTGAGGAGCGCACTGTCAAGTGTCAAGGCTGGCAAATGTTTTGGAGTCATTCAACCTCTTTCTTGGAGAGCTGCACTGCCAGTTTGTCTATTTTATAATACAGTCTGGGGAATAATTAAAGTATCCACCATTCAGATAATCACAGCAACAAGACAGCTGAAAAGTGTTAAAGCTGAAATCAATTTTTTCTACAAGCTTTTTCCCCAATACACTATGACACTAAAAAAATCTTTAGGTCAAAAAGATGTGCTGAAAGTAATTGTTTTTTTATTGATTGGTTCTCATCTTTTGGATCATTTGTTGCCAACCTGCCTGGATTCTAGATCTCATTTAAAGACATCATTTGATAGTGTGATCCTGGCACTCCTGAGCTGGCAGTGGCAAAAATATTTTTGACCATGCAGCCCTCCAAGAGGGTGATCTGCCACCCTGCTGCTTTTGGTTTATCCTGAATTAACCTCACATTTAACTTTTCTCAGCATGAACACCCTCCCCTCACCACCTCCCCGACTAATCACATTAGAGCCAGTCCTAGCTCATTCTCCGCTAAACACTGTGTCGTCATCAGGCCAGTCCGGGCAAAACCCGAAATACTTTGCAAATGCATGCACCCCTCTTTAACAATAAAATTAGACAGTCAGGAAGAAGACAAAAATAAATGAGATGGATGGCTCTTAAATCTGTTATTTCAATGTCTGACAAAAACGTATGATCATAATGCTGTCTGCAGCACATTATGAATCACTGTTTGTGAGGCTGATAAATGTGACGCTCTTCAGAGGTCATGAGTGAACACTTTAGCCAAGCTCTTAATGTCAAGTCACGTACTTCAAAAGTATTTTAACATGCAATGAAATGTTGAAATGCTGCTGCTCTGTTGTCTTACGTTGCTGCTATGTTGATGTTGTTTTTCTGCCTTCACCTCCTGGTTTCCTGTGATAGTAACTTGGGTTTTTATCTCGTTCATAGTTCTAATGGCAAGTCTGTGTCATGGTCTGAATCAGGTCCAAGACACCCTCCGAGGGGGGGGAATGTGTGGCACAGACTGTCTGTGCATGTGAGGAAACAGGAAGCCGGCTTGAATCAGACGGCGGTCATCAGGCCCCTAACTAACACCCCCGACCCCCACAGCTGTGAGCCCTCCACCTGCAACACTGGCACCGCCTCCCAAGATCCCCCCCCAGAACCACCTGGCACTAAACCTCTGTACAACCTGACGGAGGAAGACGACGAGGGCGATGCGCAGCGCCCTCTTTGGACTCCAACTAGCACTGATCGGCTGCGAGGGCGGGAGTCGGATTTGGATGAGCCGGCTTCTCTTTTGCCCTTCCACTTGACAGGCCACACCACAGATCGCTTGCACAGGGATGTGGTGGACACGCACAGCTCCCATGCACCTGCACTGAATGACCGCACTGCCAAGGAGGCAATGCCTGCCAACGAGCCTTTGAGCTTGACACCCTCTCACCTTCCTTCAGCTCCACAACACGGGGCATTTGCAGAAGAGGGGCTTGAGGATGAGGAACTGGACCTCTTACACGGCTACATTTATGACGCCAAGGAGGAAGGGGAGAGGGAGGATGGGGAAGGTGAGGATTTAATTCAAAACAAGGCAACACTGGAGGATTCCCTAGCTCTGTCTCCCCCCTCCCCTTTCAGAGACTCTGTGTATTCAGGGGACTCTGTCACCGGCTCCCCCATCATCGATTCGATGCTCGGTAGCCCCTCGGTCTACACCGCCGACATCCTCCGAGACTACGCACACAGCTCCTCAACACTGTGAGAGCAAAAACCAACGCTGGCACAGCGGCTGTCAGCAGACTTGAGCATCACACAGAGTGCATTACACCGACACACACCGACACACAACACGTGCAACGATACGATTTAACATTTCGAGTTTTTAACATTTGTTTATTTGCTCTGACATTTGCTTGCTTAACTGTATTTATTACTCTGCTGTTATCAGTAAGTGGTTAATCGAAAATACAGGTAGACCACAAATTATCTACGAGTGCTTACGTTTCTGAGGGGCCGTGAGTGCACAAAGCCTTCCTGAAAAATGTAAAACTGGGACGCGTGCCAAAACTAGTCAGCTCTCACGCCAAATTTTTTAATGAATGAAGTAACACGGAGAGTCATAATAGAAGATGTAGCTGTGTTTTTTTTTTTTGTTTTTTTGTTTTAATAGAGACAGTGCAATTGTAGAGTCTGCAAAAAAGAAAACACGGCAAGAGAAACACAGTAGTGTTTGCGCAGCGTGCTTACACATCACAGACCAAACTTTCTCTAAAGACTGCAATAGCTTAAGTGCATTTCATGCCAGTTTTGATTAGCTCTGCTCTTCTGCTGCAGCACATGCACAGGTCTGTTCATGTGTATAGCAGTCAAAGCTTCATTCAAGAAAATCAACTTTTCATTGAGTATTCATTAAGTAACTGCACCCTTTCTCTAATCAAACCTCATTGCAGTTTATATATTACAAATTAACAAGAAAAGTGAAGTATGTTGTTTGAGTATTACATTTATGTGCCGCAAGGTGTGCTCATCACAAAAGTAGTATCAACGAACTCAGATCCTGCTGAAGACTCGCGCTGTATGATATGTGACTATGGTTACAATGTGCCAAGCAAAGTTGTTATCAGCCTACAGCCCCCACTTTCTGTTTTATTTATTTATTTATTTTTATGACGTAGCTGGTAAACAGGTAAATAGGGTGATTGTAGATGACGGCAATGCTGTTTATTTCGTTTACACTAAAACCATAACCCTGAGAATTTTTACGCGCGTGGGAAATGACAACAGAAAAAGATTTTGCTTTCCATGCTGTGTGGATATTTCCCACATTTTCTGAGTTTGCTGTGTCATTGTAATGGAAAAACACAGTAAGTTGTACAAGTTATCAAAGTTTGTAATACTGTTAAGCCATCTCTTGTTTTTCACGCAGGTGGTATGTTTGTAATACTAATAAATGTTTCTATATTTAGAATGTCGACAGAAAAACAAAGTTTATACATTTTGCAACTGTCCTCGGATACTCGTCAAAAAGCAGTGTGTTTGTTTTTTGGGGGTAAATTTTAAGTTGAGCCAGTTGTATCCTCTTGAACACATTTGGTTGTAAAAGTAACCAATGATTGATTGCTTCTTGTAACGAGATGATACATGTTTCAATTTTGTTTAAATCTTGCATTATAAAGTTAAGTAATTTAATTGAGGTTAAGTTTCTTAGTTCTTTTATCTATAAGAATGCAAATAATTTCAAAGTACGAGACTACACAGTACGTAGTGCAATTGTATTGTATTTCCAAATGTTTTTAGTCTATTATAGTGTAAGTTGTTAAATGATCTTAACCAGTGTAAAATATATCAGGTGCCACCTGAAAAACACTGTCAAATCTAGAACGAAATAGGCCTTTATGTTTTGGGTGAGCTGAACATGAAAGATGCTGTAAAATAAAAACAAAACTTATATTAAAAAGACTGATTACTGCCTATATTAGCTGAAAAAACCAAACAAACTAAAACTAAAGTTATATTAGTGAGTCAAACATATATCCTGACCCCCCCCGACCCCACCCCCAAAAAAACAAAAAACAAACTGATTCTTTAAAATGTTCCAATCTGGCATGCATTTTGGACCTCATAATTGGACCGCATAATGCACTGTGTTGTAAGATGTTAATAATTGCATGAAGAAAATGGTTGTTCAAATTGGCCAAAGATTTCAATTGTCATCATTTATACAAACCTCTTATTGACTGCCCTTTCATATCACACAAATAAGATATTTGAGCCAGTGTGTCATAAGTTATATTATATAGTAAGTTACATGATATATTAGCCATGCAGTCTGCTTTTACAAACATTTGTCATTCTAAAGAGCTCTCTTGTTTGACTTTGGTACTCTAATAGGATGCTTCCAATGCAACAAGTCTGTTAAATATCGTTCTCCCTAGATGCCAGGGGCATGTCTAGACGGGGGTCATGGGGTGGCACCATACCCCCATTGATATTTTCTTGAATACTTTACTGAACTTCAGGTTTAATATACTTGTACTTAATGTACGTATTTCTGTGTTATCCTTTTTCCTGCTTATATGCCACTATATTTTAGATGCAAATGTTATATCTTTAGTTTTTTATTTTTTGAATCATCAACAGCTGGAACATACATCAATGGACCAGTAATTGTGGTATATAGTTATTGTAGTAGTTTCAGAAATTCAGAAATTCAGAAATTCTAATCCGATTCTATATAATGTGTACCCTTACTTTAGGGTTGTTTTTTCCAAAATATATTTTGAGTATGAAACGAGTGCACTATTAAGTTGCTTGAATAGGATGATAACTTTCACTTGTGTAAAAATCCTACATGCAAAACATTTATCCAACACTATTTCCTGACCTGTACCACCGCATTTAAAAAACCTGGGATCATGCTTGCTCCTCTGGCATTAACATCAGCACAAACCTGTGCACTGGGAGCTTCATGGTATGGGTTTCTACAACCTAGTATCTCCTGCAGGTATAAACTGTACGTTTTTTCCACGTAGTTAAAGTGGAAAAACCGAGATCTTTTTCTTTTTTCTTTTTTTTTTTTTAAAGATTTCTATGTCTATTAACTTGATTTGAAATGGAATATCCTTGAACTTCTTTACATCACAAGAAAACAAGAATTTTGAGGTGTTTTTTGAGCTATTGTGCAATGGTTTTATTATTTTTGGCTCAACTGAGATAGTATGGGATGTGCAGAGCACCTTTACTAGAGAGCCATGTTTTTCAAATTAGAGGTTTGGTTCCACTGAGGATTCCTGAGGATTTTTTTTCACTGTTTGTTTTGTTCTTTCACTTAGATGTGCTAAAATGACCCCCGCCCCGGCAATTTCCTGAATTTAGCACGCAAAATATATATATATATTTTTTTTTCGAATACGAAACCAGAAACCATGATTTCCGCATGGAAAGCTTTATGTACTCGCACTAGAGGGAGAAGCATACTGTATCAAGATTTGCATTTCCGCCTGAGTCCTGTGACTTATCAGGTGGTTGTTGAGCGTCAGGAGGAGGAGGAGGGGGAGGAGGAGTAAAAAGGAGAATTAGAAAGTTGGGGGGGAAACTCGAGTACTTTCTATTGCATCTGGTCTTCAACTGTAACACCGGCCTAGTCCTCCGTCGCTCCTCGCAGGACATCTATATGAGCGAGAAAGCAGAGGTTGCCTGAGTTTGAGAACAGCTGTCAGTCTCAGCATGGCCGGGGGCTCGGTGTCCGAGTGCAAGGAGTACTTGTTTAAAGTGCTGGTGATCGGAGAACTAGGTGTGGGCAAGACCAGCATCATCAAACGCTACGTTCACCAACTTTTCTCGCAACACTACAGGGCGACGATCGGGGTCGACTTTGCACTCAAAGTTATCAACTGGGACAGCAAAACGCTGGTCAGGTTACAGCTGTGGGACATCGCAGGTAAGGACACGCTCGCTGACGTCATTATAATTACGTTTCAATAATGGATCCGGTGATTTTAGAGCCACGAGATACCAAATCTAACTTTTCCGTGCGTCACGTGTCACATTGGGGAAGTTTCACTTGAGCACGCCACATCGAGACTTCAGAGATATGTTTTATCAGAAAATGATTTAAGATGATGATGATAATAATAACCAACCAGAAAGGCAGATTTTGCAGATTTTATTTATTTTGCAAAGAGTAAATTTTTAATTTTGGCCACGAATTCAACGGCGCACGGGGGGAATTTCCAGTACAAAAGACCAGTTGATCACGTCTGCTGTTCTCTTGCCCACTTTATGATCACAGCAGCTCATAATTGTCAGTGGAATGTAGGTCACGTTGTTATTATCGACTAAGCCCCGCCTCGCTAAACTCGCCGTCATATTGTGGTGTAATTCTCACCACGGCTTACAAGTATCTTTTGTTAAACTGGTCACGATATCCTATCACTGTTACCGTCCTGTGATTCAAACGGCCTGGCTCTGTTTCCGAGAAGATTTCAGTAAACTTAAGTAACTTGGCACACAGGCCAACCTGTGCATTCCAGCAGCTTGAGTAAGCAAGCTGAGAGGAATCAGAGCAGTGTAAATACAAGTTTCCTGCATGCAGGCGGCACTGCCCAGACTCCCAGTGTTTGTCATCTCCAGGCCCAGAAATATCACACTGTAAACAAAAGAGTCTGAGAATGACGCGCTTGAGAGGACAGGTGAGAGAGAGGAAGTGAGCAAAGATGAGAAGTGAGCAAAAAAGACCGACCTTCAAAACGCAAGCAGGAGCCAGGCTGCCAGACACGGTCTACGCTGCTCTTCAGTCAGAGGGAATGAGGGTGTGATGTGACGTGGGTGAGGGGTCTCTGCACTGTCCCATTAGCCTCTATCTTTTCATGTTTGATCCCAGTGCCAAAAATCCATCTGACACTTGGGCTTTTGAAATTCAGAACTGTGCTGACTGCATTGCAACTCCCAGCTCTAATTTGTGATGGTTATCTTTGTGTTGAACATAATGAGATCATGTGACTTAAGGGCCATTAAGAGTGTGACCTCGTGGAAATCGTTGTGGAAATGTCAAATTTTAGGGCATATTTTAGAAATTTTAGAGTATTTATAAAAGGCAAAGTATAAACTGAGGCAGTTTACAAAACAGAAAAATAATAATTTGTCTCTTTTTTTTATCAGTAGTGAAACATATATTACGCTTTTCAAAAATGGCAAGGTGAATAGGACTGCAGTTATTTTGTGTGTTTTCTTTATTCAAATGAATTGACTATTTATTGGGAAAAATAAATACTTGATTAAAAAACTGTCCAAAGAATGCGACAAAATTAGGTTTTATTAAATTTTAAGCCCAAATCATCATCAGAAAGGTTTAAAAAAGCAAACAAGTACTTAACAGCCTGAGCCGCTGCTGCCTGAGAAATAATTTCAGTATCCATCAAAGTGGCAAATTGTGTTCCTGACTAAACTAGATAAGATTGCAGCTTTTGGCATTTCTGACAGTCTTGTTGCTAAAATGCCGTTTCAAAGTTGTTGTTTTCTTAAGGCTAATAACAGAGCTTTTAAAGACTAGAATAAGGTGAGCTCTATAAAGTAGTCTAAAGAGACAAAAATTCCATGTGCTGTGGGTAAAGCAGAGAATTTTCAATGAGAAAAGTCTATATGCCAGGAGGTTTGAAGTGGGACAAATTCTGGGCGTAAGTCTTTCTACTACTATTCTGATAGTCTTGGATAAAAAAGGTTGTTGGCTTCTCATCTAACTGTGTTTTTACTGTTGTTGTCAGTCTGAAGTTAGATGCAATGGGTTAAAGCCATTGTGGTTTGATTACAGATGTTTAAAGAAGTGAAAAACAGGACTTCTATAACCTATACCTCAAAGGAATTTTTGGTCACTGTGTTTGTTCCTCATCTTGGTTCTTGGTTCACAGCCTGTCGTACCGCTTTGGTGAGCTTAAGTGCTGGATTAGTATCACATTGTTGGATTAGTCAAGTTATAGTGAACAATAAGACAAAACTACAATCATAATTTTAGAGACCAAACAGGGTTTCAAGGGTTTTAAAAATGTCTGTCTGGCTATTATATAAATTTTTCATGATTAAAAAAAAAACAACAAAAACAATCCCTGCCTCTAGATATGTTCTATTCTTACTTTTTGGCGGGGTTGAGCAGGTCCTTCCTCTCCCTCAATCAAACAAAGCTCATATGCTGAGACAGATCAGGACAGATGGTTAGAAGACTGCTGTTTTTCTTTTATTTATTCCACCGCTTACAGCAGTGACAGAAAGGGGGCGAACATTTGGGTGTCGGGGGGGGAGTCATCACAACAACTTGCATGTCTGTCACAGAGTGAGTGGCAGTGCGGGCTCAAGTTCCCCACCATCACTTTGGCCCTGGCAGCACAAGCTCAGTGTGCAGGAGCATCTGTGACTGAGCGCCAGGAAGTGCTGTCTGCCTGTCACAGACCGACAGCACTTGATTAGAGGATCTGCGAGGGTAAATAAAAGCCTGACACACACACACACACACACACACACACACACACACACACACACACACACATCAGTGGCACTCAGAGCAGGGTTAGCTGGGGGAGATCTACATGCTAGCATAGATTAGGGAAGGTGTGTGGATCTGGATGGTCTCACCAGGTAGGACGACTCTGTTATTAAACTGCGTTATTCACACCTACATC